AAAAAAGCATCATATGACCCCTTTAAAAAATGTCCTGGCTCTTCCAAGCTTTATAATGACAGTGAATGGGGGTCGAGATTTTGAAGCACAAAAAGTACGTCCATCCATCATAAAAAGTACTCCACATGGCTCCGGGGGGTTAATAAAGGCCTTCTGAAGCGAAGCGATGCGTTTGTGTTCGAAAAATATCCATATTTTAAACTTTATAAACCGTAATCTCTAGCTTCCGCTAACTGTCATATGCGAGTTCATGAGAGAGTGGCGTTCCAGTGGACGACGTAGGCGTAGCATACGAAAGCATGCGCCTATTTTGAAACAGATAGCCACATTAAAATAACAAATAATAATTCAACATAATGTAGCTAACTAAACTGAAATTACTTAATATTTGGGGGCAATATCTTTTAAAATATTTATTATATTTATAAATGATATTTAGTATAACTAAACCAGAGCCATATTTTTTTCTAGTGCAAAAAAGATGAAGGTTTAACTATATAATGAAAGGATTCACTAAAATGAATTAGACTTTCCAACACTGCATTCTGTTTTATTAAAAAAAAAAAATAAAAAATTTATCATTACATAACCACGGCACTTTGCCCATAAAGGCACCAAATGGTCGTTTACATTTTTAAATCTATATCTTAAAGTAATTTTGAAACCAGTATGTACTTGAAGGCAATGCAAACAATATTCTCTAGTCTTCCAGTACAGCTGTGTGAAGCTGGTTCACCTGAGAAGCAGATTTTGTTATCGGAAAAAAAGGTTTTCCAAATTCATTGCGTGTTCCATACATGGTGACGGGTGATATATTTGCGAATTCTCTCTCACCTTCTCATGAGTTTTAACCTAAAACTGACACGTTTCATTTCATAAACCCTGTTGCCCATAAATCAGGGTAACACCAGTGTTTGGAGCGGGAAATAAAGCTCCTGTATCCCACCAGAATAACATTCGATGCCAAATGGCTCCACTTCATGGCGACCCCTGGCAACTGCAGCAGGCACCTCAGTTCACTGACTTGGATCCTCCTCTAGTTTTTATCCCCCTCTACAGTTCAACTTTACTGCCTAATTGAGTTCCTTATACTGACCACGGCGAGAATATCTTTGTGTTTAAACAGCTGTAAACCACAATTGAGCATCTCAGGAGCACAGTGAACACTTTGAGGGAAAAAGAGGTGTACGCACACTTCCTCTGTCCCCAATCATCTCATCAAACAGGTGAGTTTGTAAATCAAATTTGATCATGAAATGTTTAGTGCAGTGGTATAAACCACACTCTTTCCTGAACGGTTCAAGTTTTTGTTTGGCCTTCATATTTCTGTCAATGACACAACAATAATATTTTCATTGCAACCTTGAATACCGCAGTTAAAAGTCCAAAACGTCATTTATTTCTGCCCGTCTCTTTAAGAAGCATGTTGGGTTCAGCACAAGTCTGTATCAACAGCTTTTGTGACATGATGTTGAGTACACTACCATTCAAAAGTCAGTAAGATTTTTTGTTTTTGAAAGAAATTAATACTTTTATTTAGCAAGGATACATTGAAATGATCAAAAGTGACATTTATAATGTTACAAAAGATTCAGCACAACTGAAATGTTTCAAGCAAATCAGCATATTAGTATAATTCTTGAAGGATCATGTGACACTAAAGACTGGAGAAATGGCTGCTGAAAATTCAGCTTTGCATCACAGGAATAAATTACAATTGAAAATATATTAATATAGAAAACAGTTATTTTAAATTGTACTAATATTTCACAATATTGCTGTTTTTACAGTATTTTTGATTAAATAAATGCAGCTTTAGTGAACATAAGAGACAAAAAAATATTAAGAAAATCTTACCGACCACACATTTTTGAACAGTAGTTACTGTATATTTAATAACAGCATTTAGAATATTTAGATCAATAGCCTACTTCATAATTAAAGATGAATTATTTTGTGATAATATAAAATATTTTAATATAAATATATGAAAAATATTTTGTTTGGAGGTGAATTTCACTGTTCAAGCAACAAATGTCATATATTTGACCGTTTTCATTTGGTCACAGACTAAAGTTATTACTTCAGGTTGACATTTGCTATTACCGTGGGACAAAGAAATCAAAACCACATGTGCATTAGTGCACATCACAGTTTAGCGCTTTATCAACGTGAAAGTTTCTGCCCATTTTTCCCACGAATTGCTTTTTAAAGACCTGTGATGTTGCGCTACCTGGGCCGCCCCATCCGGAGGGTCACGGAGCTCCGCTGGCCGATGAAGATGGATCGAGGGGCGTCAGCAGCACTGGGAGTGTCAGCAGGAGGCAAACATGAGAGAAATTCAATGATTGAGCCCAGTAGTGCCGTTGCCGGCGCTGTGGAATCTGTGGCTTTCGCGCTTCCGCTGTTAAACGGTACCTGATCCTTCAGCGGGATCGAGAGGCCGCCGTCAGCCCGGAATCCCTTTCAGTCTCGGAACAAAACACTCTCTAATGCAGTCAGTCAAAAGCGGGACCGGCCAAGGTCGTTTTAAGTGTCTTTTTGTTGTTGCAAAAATACATTTAAGGTAGGCTACTACACTCACTATTATGAATAAACTGACAAAC